TCTTTCCTAGCCAGCCTGGGATGGGGGCAGAGGAGATGAGACGCCATTGCCGCTGATTGGCCACTGACAGGTGGGTGTCCACGTGTGTGCTTTGTGACTGATGTGAAATCAGCGCCTGAGTTAGCCTCACCCGGTGACCTCTAGCCCTGCCCGGATGGAGCAGGGCCCACCCGGTTCAGTGTTTCTGGGGAGCTGGACAGTGGAGTGCAAAAGGCTTACAGAACTTGAAGCCTGCTCCTTCCCTTGCTACCACGGCCTCCTTTTCCATTTGATTTGTCACTGCTTCAATCAATAACAGCCGCTCCAGAGTCAGTAGTTGATGAATATATGACCAAATATCACCAGGACTGTTACTCAATGTGTGCCGAGCCCTTTCCTCGTGCTGGGCTCCCCGTGTACCTGGACACTGTAATGTGTGCTGTGTTTGCTCTCCTTCCCTTTCCTTCTTCGCCCTTTCCTTGTCTTTCTGGGGTTTTTCTGTTTGGGTTTGGTTTGTTTTTCTTTTCCCTCCTTTTGTGTTCCAAACATGAGGTTCTTTCTACTGGTCCTCTTAACTGTGGTGTTGAGGCTTATATTTGTGTAATTTTTGGTGGGTGAAAGGAACTTTGCTAAGTAAATCTCTTCTGTGTTTGAACTGAAGTCTGTATTGTAACCATGTTTAAAGTAATTGTTCCAGAGACAAATGCTTCTAGACACCTTTTTTTTTTTAAAAAGCATTCGGAAGGAGGGGAATGGTGACTGAGACAAGAGGGGCAATCTGAAGAGATGACCCCTGCCCAGATCATCCAGAAACCACTCAAAGAGGTTGAGCCCTGGAGTCCCATTCCAAGCCAACAGACCGAATAAGCTGATGTGTTGCCATTTTCAAAGTCAGAGCAAAATCAGTTTTTATTCCATCCAGCGAATTCTTTTGGCTCCCCATCCCCCAGATTATTACCATCATTGTTATTTTTAGGAAAGACAAGATTGTTGTTCCTTCAAGGAGAGCCAGGAGGGGATATGAGAGCAGAGCTGACCCTGCTAAAGAGGGAGGAGGGAGGGTCTTGTGCCTGAGTATGCAGCTGGTTCCCCATGCCCCTATGTCCCACTGTGGACACAGGTTAGGGGTGGGTTGGCAGATGGATTGGCCACTCCCCACCTGACTGCTGCTGTTTCTGGATAAGGCCAGGTTGATAAGCAAGGGGCATTCTTGTCTCCAAGATATGCCCCGGGGAAATTACCAGTCAGAACACTTCTTTCCTGCCCTATCCTGCCTCCAAGGGATACAGCACTAATGTGATATCTCTGTTCCCTACCATCCTGGGGGTTATGACAGTGGAGGGTACTGGCTGTCTCTATCTGCTTTCATCTGGTCCCCAGCAAAATTTGGATGTGACACACCCCCTTCCCTTTCCATAGCAAACAGATCCTTCTCAGAAGCCATTACCCTTGGTTGAGATTGTTCTGGGCTCTCAGAACAAGGACAGACTGGTGCTCCCTTAATGCCTTCAGGCAAGGACAGTGATGCCTTGAGTGACCATTTGCACATGGAGTTTAGTAGCTGGAAAAACAAGGCAGGATGTTGGCCCCCTCCCAAATGGATCTGTGAGACAGTGCTGCTAGTGACAGGCCACCCTGTACTAAAGGGAGCTGGCTCCAGCTGGAAAGCCTGCCTGAAGTTGGGGGATGCATGGGGTACTGGGAGAAGCCCAGGACAGACTTAGCTGGAGGGGGTCTCTAAAAGCCCTCTGTCGCATTCACCTTCAGTTTTTGTGTTTTGGGACAATTACTTTAGAAAATAAGTAGGTCGTTTTAAAAACAAAAATATTGATTGCTTTTTTGTAGTGTTCAAAAAAGGTTCTTTGTGTATAGCCAAATGACTGAAAGCACTGATATATTTAAAAACAAAAGGCAATTTATTAAGGAAATTTGTACCATTTCAGTAAACCTGTCTGAATGTACCTGTATACGTTTCAAAAACACCCCCCACTGAATCCCTGTAACCTATTTATTATATAAAGAGTTTGCCTTATAAATTTACATAAAAATGTCCGTTTGTGTCTTTTGTTGTAAAATCAAGTGGTTTTTTCATAAGGTTCTTTTACTATTTGAAAAGATGGGCAGCACGCAGTTTTATTTTATTTTTGTAAGTTTTTTAATACATGTGAAAGCAAAGAATACTCAGCATGCCTTTCTAAGTGACGCGTTTGCACCTTTTGTTGGGAAGTACTGTATCCTGTGCTGTTAGCATTCTCGATAAATCTCTCTGTGAAAGTGACTCAAGGTCTGGGCTTTCATTGTAAGTCAGCAGTCCCCTCAAGCTCACCTGACAGCATGGTGGTATGTTGCACATTTGATCCAGCTGTCCCTGAACACCAATAGCCACTCTCAGGACTGCTCTGTCATGGGAGGGAAAGGAAGCCTGCTTCATATGCTGGCCTTCCTGGCATCCTCCTTATCCTGCTCCAAGTCAGTACTTTCCAGGCCTACTGCTCCACTGTATGATAGGAAGGGTGTGGCCTAAGTCTGCCTGCTGCACAACTTAGTGTTCCTTACCAATATGGCAGGGCACCTCCTAAGTTCCAATGTGCTGTGATGCTATCAGATACCCTCCGCCCAACTCTGACTCCTGTGGTCCATTGTAGCTGAGACCCTTGCATGGCCTCTGCTGACAGCTAATGTGGCTCCCTGACCCGGAAAGGGCATGTGCAAAGGAGGCCTTGTTGTCACTGGCTTCCTATAAGGGTACCCACTCAGGCCACAGCTGTCCTCATGCTGGTGCTAGGCTGAAGGAGAGGACAATGGCATGGAGCAGTGGGACTGTGGAGTCACCCAGAGTCCAGATTCACCTGCATATGTGGGCACAGCTACTAAAAAGTCCCCTCTAAGTCCTGGCCTTGAATGTTAAATGAGAGAATTGAAAATGAAACCTGTATACATTGAACATCTCTTGTGTGCTAGACCTGTTCCTGGAGCTCATTTCCCTCAGTGCCCAAGGAGGACCAAGTCTTTGCACCATAGAGCTCAGCACATATATGCATAATAATTTGGGATACTGGAGTTGGTATATATCACAGTGAAGATTGTTCCATGAGAAGCCACTAGGGCCCAGGGCCCGGTTGCCCTCATCTTCAAGACTGGCTACAGTGGCTGTAGCTTCAGGGAAGAGGCTCTAGTGGGGACCATTCATGGGTTTTGGCAAGACCTTGTTTCTGGAAACAGTTCTAAATTCCTGAGAGGATAAGCTAGTGGATAGGGGAACCTCCTTGCAGGTGGGATTAAGGCAAGAGGGACTGTCGGAATATTGCCTTACAAGGATGCATCCAGCTGGAGAAAAGAGGCCCCATTGCTACCTTTGGGTCTCCTGAGCAGTGGGAAGGTCAGATAAGCAGAGGTGTGGAGCTTCAGGGAGTTTAGGAAGATGTGCATAAGACCACAGGTATAGTGGGGAGGCTTGGGAAGTTTTCACCACAGCTGTTTGAGCTCAACCTTCTGGTAAAGGGTATGCCAGTAGCATTTGCATTCTCACAGCTTTGAGGGACAGCATGCTAGATATATTTCAGGACACCTAAGGGGTTCTGAATGGCTTAAGACCACTGATGTGTGCAGAGGTCTATACTCTTCTTGGGTGGGCAGGGGATACACCGACCAGCCCTGTAGGCCACTATAAAAAGGTGGGACTCCATGGGCTTTGGGAATCTTGGGAAAGTCTTATGCAATAAAATGCTGTGGTGTGATTGTACCCAAGGAAGATCAACAGAGCAGTGAGCCCCTTCAGAAAGGTAGCACATTCATGCAGGTAAGAGGTAATAATTAATGGCAAGGGCAGTGGGCCTCTAGGGAAGGGGTGGGGCTCAGAATTCAGTGAGACCTTAGGAAAGTAGTGGCTGCTGAGATGCGGCCAGAAATATCCATGGGTGAAGAACACAAGGGGTGGGGGGGCTGGTGTTAGAAATCTGAGGCAGGAGGATGGCAAGTTTGAGGTCAGCTTCAGCAAATTACCAAGACCTTATCTCAAAAATGAAAAGGGCTGGGGATGTAGCTCTGTGGTAGAGTGCCCCTGGGTTCAATATCCAATATTTAAAAAAAAATGAGGAAATAAGCAAAAGAAGACTTATGTGGCTGAGGTCATAGGTTGTGACATCAGCCACATAGGTTTTGGTGACTGACTGATGTAAGCTTTAGAAAAGAGGGTAGGAGAAGTTTCTGGACTCTGCCTTCCCCACAGGGAGAGGTACAAACTGACCAAAAGTGTAACAGAAAAGAGGAGGGACAGCAGAAGCTGGGAGTGGAGCAAAAGCCTGTTGTGAAGAAACATTAAATGTGTTCATGTGCTAGTGAGGAGCCAGCAAAGAAGGAAATGTGGCAGATATTTCCAAGACCTAACAATTGCTGGTGCAGGTTCGTGAAGGAGTGGGAAAGATGAGATCCAGGGCACAGGAGGTAGCCTGGTGTACAGTTCTCTCTGCATCCAGCCTGTCACCAGCTGAGCAGTCAACCTGGGGGCCTTTCTGTGGCGCACATCTGACCCCTTCCTGCCTAGAATTCTACTGATGTCCTCTGCCTCCTAAAATAAAGCCAAAACTTCTTAATTGGGCCTACCAGTGACGTTCACCAGGCTTGGCAGAAGCCGCCTTTCTGGAACATCCTGTACCTCTGCTATAACCTTCGTCCCCAGAAATGGGAGTCGTTCATCCTTCAGAGCCCCATTCAGAGGGCCTCTACTCCTGAAAGTCCACCCTGCCCACCACACCGTGGTGAAGGTCTGTGGTCGTGGGCCTCCAATTCACTTGCCACCCCGGGGTGGAGAGGGACCGCTTCCTACCAGGGCCCCTTCCCTCTGGCGCGGCGAGGCGCCCCCGTGTGGCCAAGGGCAGCAGCGGCAGCGGCGGGGCGCAAGATGGCGGCGGACCCGAGCGCCGCCTCTTCCGCCCCGCCGGGCGTTGCACGAGGCCGGCTTGAAGGGGAAGTGAGTCAGTGTCCGCGAACCCGGCCGGCCCAGGCCCAGGCCTGCGCCCGCCGTGGCCCCAAGAGGCCCCGGGCCGGCGGCGGCTGTGGCAATGGCTGGGGGGCCAGGCCCGGGGGAGCCCGCGGTTCCCGGCGCCCAGCACTTCTTGTATGAGGTTCCGCCCTGGGTCATGTGCCGATTCTACAAAGTGATGGACGCCCTGGAACCCGCTGACTGGTGCCAGTTCGGTGGGTGGTGGCGGCCGGCGGGGGGCGGAGCGGGGGCCCGGGCTCCTGGCGTCGATGCCTGACGCCCCCCCCGCCCCGCAGCGGCCCTGATCGTACGCGACCAGACAGAGCTGCGGCTGTGCGAGCGCTCCGAGCAGCGCACCGCCAGCGTCCTGTGGCCCTGGATCAACCGCAACGCGCGCGTGGCCGACCTCGTGCACATCCTCACGCACCTGCAGCTGCTGCGCGCACGGGATATCATCACGTCTTGTGAGCGCGCGCAGCCCCCCAGGGACCCTGGGGATGGGGGACTCATGGGAGGACACGGGCGCGGAGCCCAACGAGGGGGCGGGACCACAAGAAGAACTCCCACCTGGGCCTCAACCTTCCTTTTCCTCCTCGGCATCCCAGGGCACCCTTCCACCCCTCTTCCATCCCCCAGCACCACTGTCCCGATGCCCAGCAAGAACTCTGAACCCTTTAAGGCCGAGGCCTGGAGCCCCCGGAAGTTGCATTCCTCAGCCTCCACCCTCCCCTCCCCAGGTAAGAGGACCTAGGTTTGGGGCTTGATGGACCTGAGGAAAGGGCCACCTAGACCGTGATCCTGGCTGTAGACCTTGCTGCTGGTCTCTGGGCCTCTGCCTGCCTCTCACTGGTGTCTTTATGAAGCTTTTCCAGGCTCCCAGATTCATTCAGGTCCTGAGCTCTTCCCTGTTCCAAGCCCTTCTACTGTCCAGCCACCACTGCTGTCTCCAGCCCCTTCCTCTACCAAGGTAGGTGTCCCCTGCCCACCCCCAGGAAATAATTCTACACAAGGAGGAAGGAACTCAGTCTTTGATGCACCTCAAAGCCCCAGTTGGCCAAGTCCAGTCAACTGGAAGGCAGCCGGGGTTCGGGCAGCTTGCAGCCTGGGCAGAGGGGAGGACACAGTGACTTCACTTGACACAGGGTCTCTTCCAACAGCTAATTCCAAAGAACACAGTGTCCCTACTGCAGGGGGCCCACTCCTCCCCATTCTGCTGGCCCCTCTGTGAGATTTCCCAGGGAACCCGCAACTTCTCTGAGGAGCTCAGGATTGGGGAGGGCGGCTTTGGGTGTGTGTACCAGGCAGTGATGAGGAATACAACTTATGCCGTGAAGAGGCTGAAAGAGGTAGGTATAGCATCCTGGTGAAATCTCTGGAAGGTCCTCTGGCCCTTGCTTCTCCAGCCCCTCCCCTCTACTACTCCTCACTGCTCTAGTCCCTCCCCACTCTAAAGCTTCCCCCAAGCAATTCTCTTAGTGTTGATTCTAGTTCAAGGGGCATACACACCCTTCCCCCTCCCTTGTTGTCCTGGGCCTGGGTTAGGTAGCATTGGAAGTGACTGACAAGCTGTTGCTCACACTGTCTACTTTCCCTGCCCCTTCTCCCACTATGCCTGGGGCTGTAGGAGTCTGACCTAGAGTGGACTGTGGTGAAGCAGAGCTTCCTGACTGAGGTGAAACAGCTATCAAGGTGAGCCTCAGGGGTCCCTCTGGCTCAAGGCAGAGGGAGAGAGCTGTACAGGGCCCCATCAGGCACCAGGACTGCATACTATAGGACATGGCTACCTTGGCTACTGAGGCCTGCCAGGGCCAGCCAAAGTGAGGGTGCAACAAGGGCTGCCCACCCAGTCTGGCCAGATGGGAAGTGGTAGAGCCTGGAAAACCAGAGGGCTCAGGCTTTACCTTTTCAAACAGGTTTCGTCACCCAAATATTGTGGACTTTGCTGGCTACTGTGCTGAGAGTGGCTTCTACTGCCTTGTCTACGGGTTCCTACCCAATGGCTCCCTAGAAGACCGTCTCCACTTCCAGGTAGGCTCACCTCACCTACCACATTTGCTGGGACTCACAACATTCTTGCACCTGGACAGGACCAGCACAGGGCCTGGGCTATCAGCTCCTCCATAGCATCTAGCTCAAGGTTTGGCCCAAGGTGGATCACTGCTTTCTGCAGAACTCTTTCTTGTGCCCTCTTCCTGGCTACTATTCTAAAAGGGGGATTATTGGCTCAAGCTTCTGCTCCATGCAAGCACAGCAGCTGGAAGATTTTATCAGCATAGCCTTTGAGGAAAGGGGATCCATGTGCACAGGCTGCCCAGAGGCTTAGCCCTGCCTGAGTGACATGCTCATGAGGCACAAGAGCCAAGCGCACACAAGGCAAGAGGTTCCTGGCCTTCTCGCTCAGGCTGTGTTGGGGGTATGTGGGGAGAATGTCCTTGACACCTTCCTGATCACCCAAGGACAAAGGAATAAACTTCCGAAATCTATGTCCCACACAATGTGTTGTGAATCCTAGAAACATCCCCACTCTCCCAGCTCACGGTGCCTTGCAGAGTCTTAGAGGAGCTGCTGCTTCTCCCATTCGTGAACTAAATCATGGATGTTTTGCTCCTTATTTTCCAGAAGGGGAAACTGAGACTCAGATAATAGAATGGCTGGCTTCTTCCAGGCCACACAGTGACAAGTGGGTAGAGGGTTGGGGTCAAGGAACAACTGCCCCCAGCCTCCCTCAAGACCCCATCTTTGCTCCTTTTGTCACCCCAGGCTGAAGCCTGCCCTCCTCTCTCCTGGACTCAGCGACTAGACATCCTTCTGGGCACAGCCCGGGCCATTCAGTTTTTACATCAGGACAGCCCCAGCCTAATCCACGGAGACATCAAGAGGTGAGGAGGGGGCTGGGGTGTGGCACAGTGGTAGAGCACTTGCCTAGTATGTGTGAGGCACTGGGTTCAATTCTCAGCACCACATATAAATAAGTAAATAAGCAAACAAATAAATAAAATAAAGGTCCATCGACAACTAAAAAAATTTTTAAAAATATGAGGTGAGGAAGGTCCTGGGAGAGCTGCAGAGACTGAACCTTTGGTCAGGGAAGCAGTATCCCCTGCTTGTTGTGGAGCCCTGCCCAGTGTCCCAGGGACAGGCAGCTTGCCTAGTTCTGCTGATATAGGGATGGGCTCAGCCTGGGACATCACAGCTGGGGGTTCCAGGTCATTGAGGATCCCTGCATGGCACAGGTTTGGAAATGAGGACACCAATGGGCCCCACTGATGAGCAGAAGCCAAGTTGTTATAAGGACACCCTGGAACTCAGCAGGCAACTGGGACACACAAGGCAGTGCTAGCCACCATACATGGGCAAGGCACCAGACTGACAGCCTCCAGTCCAGTTTCATCAGGGCCACTTGGGTGTGGAGGACAGAATAGGCCAGGGCCAAGCCTGGGCTGATGTCTCTCTTTCCTCCTCAAGTTCTAATGTCCTTCTGGATGAGAGACTGATGCCCAAGCTGGGAGACTTTGGCCTGGCCCGTTTCAGCCGCTTTGCAGGGACCAACCCTGGCCAGAGCAGTGCTGTGGCCCGGACACACACTGTGCGGGGCACCCTGGCTTACCTGCCTGAGGAGTACATCAAGACGGGCCGGCTGGCCGTGGACACTGACACCTTCAGCTTTGGGGTGGTGAGCTGCTAGCTTGTGTACTGGCCTTGGGGGGAAGGAAAAGCCACCAGTAGCTAAAGGTAGGAGGGCCTGGAGTATTGTGTGTGAAGGCCAAAGGTCATCCAGGTAAGGAGCAAAGAAAGCCTCAGCTCCAGAGCACTCCTTGCCTTGCAATCTCCTTCCTCCCCCTGTACCTGATTTCGTGTTTGTAATTTTGTATTCTTTTTTTTTTTTTTCCTGGTACTGAGGATTAGACCCAAGGCCTGCTGCATGCTAGGCACGCCCTCTACTGCTGAGCTATGCCCCAGCCCTTTGCATTTTATTTTGAGACAGGGTCTAAGTTGCTGAGTCTGGCCTCAAATTGGCAATCCTCCTTCCTCAGCCTCCCAAGTAGCTGGGATACAGGTGTGTACCACCACGCCTGGCTTAATTTTGCATCCTTTTACCTCAGGCAGGCCCTCCAAATTGCTTACACTGTGGTACCATAACACCTGGCTCTGTCCCTGCTGGGAGCCAGTCCTCCTCTGCCTACCCCGGGGCCACACCCCTGTCAACCCTGATCCATGCCCACCCCAGAGGCCTCCTCTGCACACAGCACCTCCCTGCCACGGTGTGGGGCAACACTCTCCACCCTGCCCTCTAGGTAGTGCTGGAGACCCTGGCTGGCCAGAGGGCTGTGAGGACACATGGAGCCAGGACCAAATATCTGGTGAGCCTCCTGAGGGAAGGCAGAAAGGGAGGGAGGTACTGCTCCTGGCAATCAACAGGTGCAGCCCCAGAGGGTGAATGATCCAGTGTCCAACAGAAGGCTGCCACTGCTGCTGCTGCTGCTGACTCATCTTTAAAAGTGGGCAGGGCCCTGAACAGCTTCCTTTACTTTGCAAGGAGAAACCTGTCTCTTCTGTAGATTCTGTGGGCCCTGAAAGACCCCATCTGGGCTGGGGACAGGAATGAGGACAGTCTTGGTGCTGTGGGACCAGAGCTGTAGTGGAACTCAGAGAAGGCAGGGGCCTGGAAAATGCAGTGGTAGAGAATTGGGCAGACTAGGAAGCCTTTCCCTAGGCCCTACCCGACAAGTTGCAGGTCAGTGCTCCACCCACACTCTTGCATTCTTGACTGTCCCACTGTGTACTGTGTCGGGGCTGAGAGATGAGACCCGGGCCTTGAAGCAAATTCCTGCTCCTTGCTGAGCCTGTTTCCCCGTGTGCAAAGAAGACTTAACATACAGGCAGCATTCAGACAATTCCTGGGCCCAGAACTTGCTTGGCCACTGTTTGCTCTTTTCCTTTTACAAACTTCTCCTGTGTAGGGGCTTTCTATCCATTGTGGCTCTCAACAGGGACTCAGCCCAGCCAAGCTGTGAACCAGATTGGACCTCTCCTTCCTTTACCTCTTGCTCAGGCCTCATGGGCTTTGCTAACAAGCCAGTAGGTTTGTTGGTGTCTGTCTTCCCCTGCCAAGAAATTGGCTCGGTGTAGTAGGGCCCAGGGTATTCTGTTTGTCATTGTATCCCTAGAGCCTGGGGCAGCACTGGACACACAGTGCATGTTCAATAAATCTGGAGAAAGAAGACCACACTATTGAGTGCACGAGTGTGGGGAATCCAGCTGAAGTTCTGGCCACCCAGAAGCCATGCTCACTGTATCTGTCCCACAGAAAGACCTGATTGAAGATGAGGCTGAAGAGGCTGGAGTGGCCCTGAAAAGCACCCAGACCACTCTCCAAGGAGGTGCAACCACAGATGCCTGGGCTGCTCCCATCGCTGCCCAGATTTATAAGAAGCACCTGGACCCCAGGCCTGGGCCGTGCCTGCCCCAGCTGGGCCTGGCCCTGGGTCAGGTGGCTTGCTGCTGCCTGCACCGGCGGGCCAAGAAGAGACCCCCCATGACCCAGGTAGCCCTGGGAAATCCAGCTGCCTGTAGGGAGGGTGGCTAGCCCTACTGGGTAGCAAGCTAAACACAGTGCCTGCTGGGTCTGTTTCTACAGACAAGTCTCCCAACGTCCCTTGCTTGCACTTTGGTTCTACTTGGAGCAGTGATCCACTGAACCAAAGAACTCTGCAGACCTGCTTTGCTGGATGGGGCTTTGATTCCTTGTCTCTGATAAAAGGAAAGGAGTCTTACCATGTCCCGTACTGGTGACACTGTGCCACTGCATCTGCCTTTTTTTCTTCCCTCCTTGGTCCTCCCTCCTCTTCCCTCTGGTGACAGTTGAAAATAGAGTTCTTGGGAGGCTGAGGCAGAAGGATCCCAAGTTTGAGGCTGACCTCAGCAACTTGGTGAGATCCCATCTCAAAATAAAACAGGCTGAGGGTGTAGCTTAGAGATACTGCAAAAAAGAAAAATAAGAGTCCTTGGCCTTGGTGGCCATGACTCTCAGCACTCCTTGTGACAGGAACAAAGGAGCAAGGGGCAGAGCTTTTCCAGCTGTCGGATCTGCTGGGTTGGTGGTTCCTGCAGCTCCCAGAGCAGCTGTATGTGGCCTGCCACAGCAATCTAAGCCCCAGAGTAGGTGCTAGATGACCTAGGGCAGGCCTGTGCTTTGACCAGGAGGTTGGCTCTGCATGTCCTAAGAGTCTTTCTCTCCACATAGGTGTACAAGAGGCTGGAGAAGCTGCAGGAAGCAGTGGCAGGGCCTACTTGGGAACCAGAAGCTGCCAACCCTAGCCCTCCTTCCCCACAGGAGAACTCCTATGTGTCTACCACTGGCAGTGTCCAGAGTGGGGGTGTCCCATGGCAGCCCCTGGCAATGCCCTCACAAGCCCCAGCCCAGGCTGCCCAGCAGCTCCTGAAAAGCCCCAACCAGCCTGTGGAGAGCGACGAGAGTATATCCGGCCTCTCTGCTGCCCTGCACTCCTGGCACTTGTCCCCAAGCTGCCCCTCAGGCCCAGCACCCCTCAAAGAGGCTGGCTGTACTCAGGGGGACACCGCTGGAGAGTCAAGCTGGGGGAGTGGCCCAGGCCTTCGGCCCACATGCATGGAAGGTAGCTGGGGTGTTCAGAAGAGGGACCAGATGCCTGCTTTGGCAGTATCCCCCCTATTCCCCACCCAGGCGATCAGAAGAGGAAAGAATTGGGGCCAAGTAGTTCAGTTCACTAGGTCCTTAGCAAGCTCAAGGCCACAGGGGCATGGAGAATGGTTTGGTGCTGTCATGCTTTCCCTCCCCTGGTCATGCCCTGTGGATGACAGAAAGCCAGCAGTCCCTTTCCGCCCCACTCCTGCAAGCCAAAAACAAGGAAGGCTGTATTTGGGCTCCTTGCCTATCCTGAGAGCTGGGTCCATGGCACAGTCCCCTCAGCCCTGGCCTCAGAGTTTGCTAAGGAATTCTGTCCTGAGGCTGGTGAGGCAGGGTGCTAGACTTGGTGCTGGGAAGACTTGTGAGGCTAGAGTGTTACCAAGAGTTGCTAAGGACAGCTAAGAGGGTGCTATCTCTGCCCCAGGATCACCCCTGGGCAACTCTGCCTTATCCTCGTCATCGTCAGAGCCACCGCAGATCATCATCAACCCAGCCCGACAGAAAATGGTGCAGAAGCTGGCCCTGTATGAGGATGGGGTCCTGGACAGCCTGCAGCTGCTGTCATCAAGCTCTGTCCCAGGTACCTGGGGACACTTCCAACTCAGCTTCCCAGGGATCCAGCCCCCAGGGGAGTCCCCTCCCAACCCTACCCACATGTTGCAGCTGGATGACCAACCTCCAGGGTACACAGAAGCACTTCCCCATGCCAACTCCGAACAGCAGAGCATTTGTTCTGACTGCACGGACAAGGCCTCCACTCACCAAGGGTGTGGGCTGGCCAGGCAGGCCACTCCTTCTAATGGTGGCTAGCAGCCTAGCGTGTCCCCCATGTCTCCCATAGGAAGTTGGTGGCCCAGGTCCCCCACCACCTGAGGACAGACAGTACCTTCCCTAACCTGAGGATGCCAGTTCCCCTTGCTCCCAGAAAATATGAAGCCCCAGCAGGAATTTTCCACTCCAGGGACTATTTGAAGAGCTGCTTAGAAATAAAAGCCCTCAATTGATTCCAGAGAGTGCCCCAGGAGCTGAAAAGGAAGCATGGCCCAGCCTTCAAGCCAGGGCTTCAAGCAGACAGGGAGCCTGCCCCTGTTTGCTAAGTGGTTTTTCCTCTTCCTAGGCTTGGACCTGGAACATGAAAACAGACAGGGACCTGAAGAGAGTGACGAATTTCAGAGCTGATTTGTCCACCTGGGCAGATCCCCCAGACCCAGAAGTCAAAGTTCTCATGGTTGGAAGTTCTCATTGCACATGACCCTCTCAGCAGCCTACAGGCAGCAGGGGTGGGGACCTGTCGTGGCAGGGAAGACTGGGTGGTGGCCCCTGCAGCTCAGGGGGTGTGGGCAGAGGCAGAGCCAGGAGGGCTGCTGGAAGCCACTGATAGGACAAAACATCTCGGAAGCCTTCCTTCAGTCCATCACTTGGGGTCAAGGCAAGCAGATATCATCTAAGGGGTGGGCTGGTGTATATTGAAAGGCTGCCAGCTGAACAGGCTAGTGGCCAGAGTCAAGTGGGACTGCTGTTGCAGTGGGAGCTGGCTCCCTTGGGCATCTGCAGCAGCCCTTAACCCATCTCTGGACTTTCCTAAAACTCTGAGGAAAAGCAGCCATTCTACACAACAAAGCCGGTGAGGCCTGGGGCCCTCCCAGTCACTGGTAATTTGGAAAAGAAAGTATGGCTATCTTGTGGTTCAGTCCACTAGTAGAGGCAAGAGAGTTCTAAAATCCCAGAGAATCTAGCAGTGCCCCCTGCCTTGGGCTCGTGTCTGCAGGCTGCCCTGGAGAGCCATGAGCTAGCCTAATGTGACCACCTGCTAGCCAGACCACCCCTAGGCACCGCAGATGGGCTCCAAGCCCAGTCAGACTCCAGAGACCAAAGTGTCAGCCTCAGGCCCAGGCACTGGTCGTGGCAGAGAGGCTGCTACCCAAGGTCTGGCAAGGCTAAGCCCTGTGTCACCCAGACAGAAGCCCCAAGTAAGCAGGAAGTTGGGGATGAGGCAGAAAGGGAAGAGCAATATTTTGGGGAAAAAGAAAATGTGACTCACATTTTTAAAAGCAAGTCAGGTTTTGTGCAACTAAATGTCCTCTTCAAAAGTAGCCCAGGGCTGTAGCACAGGCTTACAGTGATTTTGTATTCACATTCATGAGTCACACTACATGCCCCCATAAAGCTAGGCATTGGTGAAGTCCAAGTTGTCCTTGCATAATAAAAACTTACCTTTCAATATCTGGCTATATTTGTACAATTTCTTGCTCTGAAAGCCTTGAGCTTTCTAGCACGTCACGTCTCAGGGTTCTTGAGTTTCCAGCCCAAACTCCAGGCTGCTCATCCTGTGGAGACTCTTGTTTCTACTCCCAGGTAGCCAGGCTCAGACTGGGAATAAGTCCACAGTGCTGCAGCTTCATACTTTAACCTCATTAAGTTTTTCCTCACATAGTTCATGATTTTTCTGAGCGGGTACTGGGGATTGAACTCAAGGACACTGAGCCACATCCCCAGCCCTATTTTGTATTTTATTTTAGAGACAGGGTCTCACTGAGTTGCTTAGCACCTTGCTAAGTTGCTGAGGCTGGCTTTGAACTCGTGATCCCCCTGCCTCAGCCTCCCAAGCCGCAGGGATTGCAGGTGTGCACCACTGCGCCTGGCTAGTTCATGGTTTTTTATTTCATCGTAAGTAGTACCTTCATTTCATTTACTAGTTGTTCATTGATGATATATATAAATACAGTTGAGTTTTATATATGGGCCATATATTCCGACTCTAGTTAAATTCACTTACCAGTTCTAGTACTTTGGGGATAAATACCTTGGGAGAATCTATATGTACAACCATTTCATCGGCAAGTAAAGACAGTTTTACTTCTTCCTTTACAATCTATATACCTCAGTTCTTTTTCTTGACTTAGTACACTGGCTAGGGCCTCTAGTCAAATGTTGAATACAAAGGGTAAAAGTGGACATCCTTGTCTTGTTTTCAGTCTTAGATGAAGTGTTGTTTTTCACCACTAATTATGATGGTAGCCATAGGACTGGCATAGATGAATTTTATCATTTTGTCCTAGATGTTTAAGAATTTTCTTATTATAAATGGTCGTTGAACTGGAGGAAGCATTACTGAATGTTTCAAATGATTTTTCAGCAGCTATTGCGATGATTATGTGATTTTTCTCCTTTATTCTATTCATGTATGTGATAAATCACATTGAATTTCAAATGTTATACCAGACCTAAAAATAGTACTATATTTGGTTATGGTATGTTATCGTTTTATATATTGCTGAATTCATTAGCTAATATCTTGAGAACTTCTGTATCTATGTTCATAAAGGCTATTGGTCTTCATGTCTAATAATATCTTTTTTTTTCTGATTTTCCTCTCAGGGCCTCATAGAATAAACTGGAAATCATTCTCTCCCATTTTGTTTTGTGTGCTGGGGATAGAACCCAGGCCTTGTGCATGCTAGGCAAGTACTTTACCACTGAGCTAGACCCCCAGCTTTTATTTTTTGAGACAGGGTCTCACCAAGTAGCCCAGGCTGGCCTTGAACTTGCAATCCTCCTGCCTCAGCCTCTAGAGTAGCTGAGATGATTCTCTTGTGTTCTTATACATATTTAATGTTATTTATTCTTTAAATGTTTGATAGATTCATAAGTGAAGCCAGTTGCAACTGAAGTTGTTGTTGTGGAAATGTTTTTTGTTTTGTTTTGAGGTTTTTGTTGCTGTCATTTTGGCTGTTTTTGTTTCTTTCTAGTGCTGGGGATAGAACCCAGGGTCTTATGCCTGCTAGGCTCTATCACTGAGATATACCTCTAGGAAAGCTTTTCATTACAAATTCTGTTTCTTTAATTATATATTAGGCCATTCAGAATTTCTGGTTCTTCTAGTGTCAGTTTTGATAATTTGTGTCTGTTAAGGAATTTGTCCATTTCATTTAATTTAACATAAAGTTACTATGACTTTATTTTAAAAACCATAGTATTAATACCCTTTTTTCATCCTTTAACTGTGTAGGATCTGTAGTGACCCCCATCATTCTATATATTGGATTGGTAATGTGTCTGTTTTTTTTTTTTTTTCTGACCTCAAACACTCCTTTTCTCTCAGCCTCCCCAGTCTCTGGGACTACAGGTGCACACCACTGCACTCAGCTTCCTTTTTTCTTGATCAACCTAAATAAAGGTTTATCAATTTATTGATAATCTCAAAGACCTGATTTTTGGTGTTTCGTTGATTTTTCTGTATTATTCATCCACTTTCTATTTAGTTGATTTTTATTCTTTGTGTGTCTGTGTGTCTCTGTGTGTGTGTGTGTGTGTGTGTGTGTGTGTTTGCTGGGGATTGAACCCAGGGCTTTGTGCATGCAAGGCAAGCACTCTACCAACTGAGCTATATCCCTAGCCCATGATTTTCACTCTTGAGCAGTTCCTTTCTTTTGCTTATTTTAGATATAATTTGCTCATCTTTTTCCAGCTTCCTAAAGTATTGCATTTAAGTCACTGATTTTAAGTCTCTTCCTTCTTGTCCTCCCCCTCCTCCTTCCTTCTTCCTTCTTCTTTTGCGTTGAGGGGGTTCTTAGTATATTGCCCAAGCTGGGCTCAAACTCCTGGGCTCAAGTGATCCTCCTGCCTCAGCTCCCAAGTAACTGGGACACAGGCATGCACCACCATATCTGCTTTCTTTCTTGTATAGGGCGGTGGCGGTGGGGGTGCTGAGGATTGGACCTGGGAGCAATTTACCACTAAGCCACATCCTCAGCCCTTTTTATTTATTATTTTAAGTCACAGTCTCACTAAGTTGTTTAGGGCCTCACTAAATTGCCAAGGCTGGCTCAGACTTGCGATCTTACTGCCTCTGTCTCCCAAGCCTCTGGGACTTCAGGTGTGCACCACCATGCCTGTCTTACATATTTCCGTTTTAGCACAGCTTTAGCTACATTCAATACATTTGGATGTCATATTTTTGTAAGCATTCAGTTCATACTGTTTTCTGATTTCTCCTTTAATCAGTGACTTACTTAGAAATGTGTTAATTTTCAAATACAGTTGTCCCTTGGTATCTACAGGGAGTTGTTTCCAAGATCCTTGTTTCCAAGTCCCTTGCATAAAGTGGCACAATATTTGCATGGAATCCATATACATCCTTGAAATCATCTCTAAATCACTTATAATAACTTATCAATGTAAATGCTATGTAAATAGTTATACCTTATTGTTTATGGAATAATGACAGAAATTCTGTGCATTCTGTACAGGTGCAATTATTTGAATATTTTCCATCCATGGTTGGTTGAATCCATGAATCTGGACCCATGGATACAGAGGGCCAACTATATTTGGAGATTTTTCAGATTATCATTTTGCTGTTTGTTGCTAATTTAATCCTTTGAGGCAGAGAATTTATTCTATTTTATTGAGACTTGTTTTGTGGCCTGGCATGTGGTTCAATTGGGTGAATATTCCATGTATATTTTTTTAAAGTATATATTCTGTAGTCAGGTAGAATGTTCTATATATGTGTATTCATCTTTCTTCCTTCAGTTCTACCAGATTTTGCTTCATGTATTTTGAAATTCTGTTATTGAGTGTATAAGCATTTGTAATTGTCACAGTTTTTGATAAATTGACCCTTTTATTATTATGAAATGCTCTCTTGATTTCTGGTAATATGCCTTCTGAAGTCTGCTTTCTTCAGTATAAACATATAAAGAAAGGTAGTTCAGCTTTCTCTTTTTAAATATTTTTTTACTTATAGGAAAACACAATGACCTTTATTTTATTTATTTATTTTTATGTGGTGCGGATGATCAAACCCAGGGCCTCGCACATGCTAGGGAAGTACTCTACCGCTGAGCCACAATCCCAGCCCCATAGTTCAACTTTCTTATGCTTAGTTTTTTTCATGGTATAAACTTTTTCCATTTTCTTTTTTTGTTTATTTGTGTTTGTGTTTTTTTGGGGGGGAGGTGGTTTGTTTGTTTGGTTTTTGGTCCTGGGGATTGAATGAAGGGGTGTTTAACCACATCCCCAGCCCCCTTTTTTTTCTTTAAGATTTTTTTTTAAATGCCAATGGATGTTTATTTTTTTTATTGATATGTGGTGCTGAGAATGATACCCAGTGCCTCACACATGCTAGGCAACTGCTCTGCCACTGAGCCACAACCCCAACCATTATATTTTTTATTTTGAGACAAGTTCTTGCTAAGTTGCTTAGGGCCTTGCTAAATTGCTGAGGCTGGCCTTGAATTGTGATCCTTCTACCTCAGCCTCCTGATCCTCTGGGATTATAGGTGTGCACTACTGAGCCTGGCTCAGTCTTACTTCTTAAAAAAGTCTGATAATGTCTGCCTTTTCATTGGTCTGTTTAATCCATTTACATTTAACAGTTGGGCTTAAAGTGTTTCAACTTATTATTTTGTGTTTGTCCCATCCATTCCTTGTTACTTCTTTCCTCTGTTCCTTACTTAGTGGTTTATCAAGTGTTTCTGGTTTTCTCCTTTCTACACTACTGGCTTGTTAGTGTTAATGAATCAGTAAGACTCCCTGTTCTGCCAGGAACCCCCTTCCTGTACCATGGTCTGGAAAGTGCCTCTAGCTAGAAACCCAGAGTTTCCTTCTTATCATAGTCCTGTGCTATCTGTTGTCTGATATCTGAAAATTGTTGTTTAAAATATTATGCCCAGCTTTTTTTTTTACTTGTTTACAACTGGTATCAATTATTTTGTCATGGCCAGAATAGTAAGTTCCTCCTCTTTCCTGAGAACTTCTTCACTCCTAAGGTTCTTCATCTTTCTCCTATATGATCTGTTTCTGCCTCACTCCTGAATCTATTTTCATCTAACATGTATGATAGCTTCCATTCCTGAAGAAGAAAGAAAAACTCCTTTGACCAAACACCCCCCTCCAACCACAACACCAATTCTCTGTTCCTCTTTATAGCCAAACTTCTGAAAATAATTGTTTTCTCACTTCTTCCCATTCCCTCTTACTCCTTCTAATATAGCTCCTACCCTTACCACTCTACCAAAATTCATGTTTGACCATGATACCAGTGATCTTCATGTCGCCAGATGCAGTTTGTCCTTTTCCTGTCTTCATGTATGCATGTATTTCGTAGTGCTGGAGATTGAACCCAGGGGCACTCTACCACTCAGCTACATCCCCAGCAGTTTTTACTTTTAATTTTAAGACAGGGTCTCGCTGAGTTGCCCAGGCTGGCCTCAATCATGAG